AAGACACAGTTCTGAGTAGTTAACTCAGACATAATATTACATTTACACACTGTCTCTTACAGCACAGAACCCAGGGCCAAGGTTTTGTGTATCTAATTCCAGGCAGACGCAGTATAATAAAGTTGACTGTGGAATCACAGAGGTCCAGTAGATTCAATAGAGGCGTTGGCCTACAGGCCTGAAGATCCAGACTTTCAAACCAAGCCATAAACTTTGCACTGAACAGACGATCGCTATTTCCCCTACTGAAGGCATCCCTGGTGTCTCATCCCAATTTACTGTTTTCGCCAACGCACAGCCGCCTTCCAGCCATCTGCTCCTCACAACCTCATTCCTTTTTCTCTCACCCTGTCTTCCATTCATGCTCCCTCTCTGAGGATTCAAAAGTAACACGGACGGGGTGACGGATCCATCGGGCTCTTCATCCATCCACTTCTTGCAAAAGGAAATATTGTAGCGTTCTGCTTTACATTTACAGCTGTAGGTGAGTGGACTCATCCTCGCACAGCGCAGAGTTCATAAGTTTGTGTGTTGGACAATAGAGCGCGGCTGCTCGGGGAACTCGCCCTGGCTTTTGTACGCATGGCCTTTTCCATTACTACTTACTTCATCTGTCACCCACATTGATCATAATAAGTACAAAACATCCACCGTATAATCTTCTGTGCTAGTAGGAACATACTTCTTCTCACTCTGTCTTCCGACTGCTTGGTATGTTGCCAAATCGTATACATATCTGGAACGTAATCTACTAAAAGGCTGCACATAGGTTCATTCACTATATGTACCTCCTTATGAAGGAGCTCGGCTGGTGGACTGCTTGACCTGGCCATTAATTTTATTGTCGTTGGTTGTGCCACGTATAAATTGAAACGTAAGTCACAGTTCATCCACTTATAATGATATGCAGTGTGATTCATCTACAGTAATAAATGAATACTAATTCAGGGTTCATCACTGTGAAAATACCATTGAAATAGTGTTTGTCTCATTTGTCATATATCTAACATAAGAAGCTGCTATCAAAGAATATTTATTTTCTATTGAGCAGATATTTTTCACATACATTACGTCTGTACATTAAGTGCTCCTTTCATGCTTTGTACAAGTGTGCATGTGGCATTGCAGTCATTAGGAAATCAGATAATAGGCAGATACATAAATACAATGACAAATATAACAAATAGAGAACTATCTAAATACCAAAAGTCAAAAGGGTTAAGAATTTAAAAAAAAAATGATTGTGATAATAAAATAAAAATAGTTCACCACAGACCCTCCAACTTCCCTCACCTTCCCCTATTACTGTCTTTTGGGCACTACAGAGTTCAATTAGCTCATAGCTAACTCTGGTGCAGCTAAGTCTTATGTTCAACATAAAAAAACCTAACAAATAAGAAAAAGCTAAATGAATTACATTGCATTTGAACTTGTATTTCTGTCTCTACTGTTGAATTTTCTCATTTTTTCTCCACAACAGGCGAGAAAGCAGAGTTGGTGAAAAAAAACATACAGCTTAAGGAGTCACTGGACAAACAGAAAGACCGGGAAGATTTTGTTCCAATACTGAATGAGGTGAAGACCAAACTGGAAAACCTGAGGCATCAACTCATACTGCGACTGGAGGAGGTGGAAAAGGAGAGGGAAGTGAACAAACTGAAGCTTCAGGCAGTGGAGAAGGAAATAACAGAGAAAGAGAGGACATCTGACAAACCAGAGGAATTATTAAGAGAAAAGGAACGTTTATTGCGCGAGCAATGGAAACTGGACGAGACAAAGAACAATAATCAGGGACAACTACTGAACATTGAGAGACTGCTGGAGCCAATAGAGATTAAGTTTACCTGAATATTTTGAAAAAAAGAAATCACTATGCAAATCTGACTTTTTGTAGAGTTGTCAGAGAATGGAAAAAGGAAAACAAATATTTATTTTGTGGTTTTGTGGCTTAAATGTACCAATAATCCAAAAGGAGTAAAAATTCTAAACTATTACCAGTACTACACCTGGTGTAGTGACCTAATCTTTCTAGAGATACTGAAGTGAAAAAATAACTATAATCTTAAATGTTATAACAGGCTTTACAACTGTATTCATGGTTCTACAATATAGATCTTACATATTAGAAATCCACACATACAAAGTTTAACATTTATAGAAGAAACAAAAATACAAACACATCTGTAACCACATGTGTAGAAGTAGTGCAGGTTTGACCATAAGGATATCTGGGCAAGATGTTAGAGCTGAATAAGACTTAAAGTGTCACTTGACGAAGTGAGTACAATGGTGTGAATGTGTTACTTGTTTGAAATTAACTGTTTGTTTTTTTACTTTTATAAGGCATCTTGGAATATGCAAACAATTACAAAGTCAAAGCATTAAGTTGTGAGGATCTTGTGATATTCCTTTAAGAAGACTTTGTAGAAACATTTTCTGTATAAAAATGCTTTTTGCAATAAATGTCTGCTGTTTTTGTTTCTGTACTGTCTGCTCTATGGTCAGATTATTTACTGTCTTTGCTGGTGTTCTTTACTTGCTTTCCCCCCTTGACTGCAAGATGAACAGATCGGTTAACCCTCATAATACCTTCCCATTGACTATGCAGTTGTGTTCCTCCATCATGAATTTGATCCCAGTCTGGTTTGACTTGAACTCAATACAAACTCATTAACACCCAGCTTGACCCAAATTTCTATAATTTAGGGTCAGTAAACCTCGTTTATGCGAAATTATATTGCATTTTTTTGTTTAAAAAAAAGCTACAAATCGGAATAATTTTGACTATAGTTAATATAATAGGAATATATGTTGATTGATTATCAAAGTCTGGTATATGTCAAAGTTTAGTCAGGATGCTGTTTTGAAAGCATTTATTTTTTTTCAATAGGGACAAATAATGACACCTGTTGTCCTTCGGGGTGTGTATATGTCTGTGTGTGTGTGTATGTTATATGCATCTATGTGTGCGTTATATGCACTGTGTGTGTGTGTTTGCACAGTGTTACCCAATGGCCCTTCTGGGGTCAAATGACGGTAGGGAAGAACACAAGTGTTCTAAAGTTAAATCAAACACCCAAAATTCAGTGAAAGTGGTCAAAGTTGATTTTATGTGGAGCTTCCATACCATGGAACCATCCATGTTATTTTGGTGAAGTTATATTTAAACAATGCCATATTTATGACATAAAGAACATTGAAATGAGGTGAAAAATGACCCCAAGACATTATGAGGGTTAAAGACTGCAGCTTGAATAGGTGGTGGGTGTTTTTTTGATGCAGCCTAACTAACTCTTGAATGGAAAACTAATTTGAATCAGTATGGCAAGGTGTTGCGTGCTAAAAGAAAGCAGATTTCGAACTCCATTTTATATGGCTGATTAAATATTAACCAGTGTTGTTGTCTCTAAAAAAAAACCCAGCAGCCTCAAAATCCTCACATTAAATCTGATGTTCAAAACTTGATGTTCAACCTCGAT